AGCCCCAAATACAGCACCAAAAAAGAAGGAGGGGGGGGAGGAGGAGGAGGAGGAGGAAGAGAAAGAAGAAGAAATGAGTATTTTGAAATGCTGTAGTGGTGTATTATAAGAGAACTAGATTAGAAACTGTTTTTGTTGTTTTGGTTTTTGGGGTCCAGTCGTGCAGCCTGAACTCTGGGCCTGGGCGCTGTCCCTCAGCTCCTCAGCTCAAGGCTAGCACTCTACCACTTGAGCCACAGTGCCACTTCCGGCTTTTTTCTTTTTTTCTTATGTGGTGCTGAGGAATCGAACCCAGGGCCTCAGGCACGCAAGGCAAGCGCTCTACCACTGAGCCACCTTCCCAGTCCCTAGAAACTGTTTTGAGGAGAGGGACTTGTCTTAATCATCATGAGTCTTCACAAAATGGGACACACAGGCATTCCATGAGCTCAAGTAGGTTTGTAAAGCAAAAGATGGCATACTCTTGCTTTAAGAACAAAACAAAAAGGCCAGACACCCTTTATCACAGAACAAGCATTATACTTACGCAAGCAAAATGAAGAAAGCTGTTAGAAAATGTAAATAAAGTTCTAACCTCAGCCATTTCACTCTTTGATTTAAGATTGTTCCATTTATTCCTTTCCCTCCAAGAAAATGGAAATACATTAGTATTCAAACATTTGTGATCACGAAGAAGAGAAAAACTGGTCTGACCACTGTCTGGCAATTAGAGGTTATAGGCTATTTTTCCAATTCTAGGAATTGTCTACTGAACTTTTTCTGTCTTGAAAATGCAAACAACAGTGTCAGATTCTCTACACACCGTCTGTCATCTACTCATCAAATCTACCAGGTCTTTCTCTTTTAATAAATGAGTTTACCTTGGCTTTATGATAAAACAGATCTCCCCACAGGGATGTACTTCACCTAGAATTTAATCTTGGTATCACAAAAAAACAAATTTCAAATCTGAAAATAAACGAGTTTTTCTTTTTTGCACACTTTCTGAATTACTTTCCTGACTGAAATCACTTTTTCTTCATTCAATAATAACCTAGTAAAACAAATCTGATGCAATGAATTGATACTTATAAAAATGGCCTCAACACTTATCCCAAATGATCTTAATGCTATTTCATTATCATACTGTAGAACTACATGTGTCCATCTGGTGTCCCCAGTAAATTGTATTTCTAGAATGTTACTGTGTGAATGAAACCTTAAGTTTTTATTTTTCAAGTTTTATTTGAATTTCATTGACACATAACAATTGTACATGTTTATGGGGTACAGTATGATGTTTCTGTACATGCATACCTTCTGTAAAGATCAAATCATTTAGCCCAGCAAATGCTTCAAACATTAATTCATTTACTTGTAGTGAGAACATTCAGAATCTTCTCTTCTAGTTATTTTGAACTTGGAATTTTTAAGTTAACTTTTCTTGCTATTTTATCTGACAGATTTTACTGCTATATAATTATCCATTGTGTTTTAAACAACTACTGGCTTGCGGTTAATCAGATAAAAGAAAGCTTTTCATGACAGATAAAATTATAAATTTCAAAGACTTAGAATTTGCCCAAAATTTCATTCTCTATAAAACTGTAAATTAGTCAACAAAAGTTAACTCTGTTAACATTCAATGCAACTTCATTTCTGCCTTCGTGTTAACAGCAAGTTTACAAAAACAGGTAGGTTTTTAAATGATACATGAGAAAATTATACTCAGGCTTCTGACAAAGAATCTTGGCTTTAAACAATGTACAAGTAAATGCTTCAGGAGAATTTCTGTATCTTTCAACTATTTTTACAACTTGTTTGATTCCAAACTTTTCAAGAACTTATAAATCATTCTCTTTTTCTGACATATTCATTTGTACCTAATGTTACATTAAAATTGCTAAGTATTTGCAAACTCAAATATCAATACTGAAAACTCATAAATCTATTGTTCTGATTAGAGCACCAGATATTCGAAATTTTGTGAGAAAGTAGGTCTATTTGTAGAAAAGTTTTCAAAGTTTTATATATTTGTATATGAACTAAAAAAGTATTAATTCACTAAATTCCATGTAAAAGGGCAAATATATTCGAATCTCCATGTTTCTCTACTTAGTGTTATTTTTCCATTTGATTGTATTCAACAGAGTTTTTATGCTTTAAAGAGCCATTAGGAGCCAGATATCATTATTGCCTTCAGAATTATATGAGGTTAAAGATTTCTTGCCCAATATTAAATATGGGTTGAAATGTGCTACAATAAATAAATAATTTCTCACTCTGACTTAGACAGCAAAACCTTCTGAATAACATTACATATATCAATTAGAGTGTAATATTAATGTAAGACAAATATGAATATTCTAAGTTATTTTACAAAAACAAAAGTATAAGACTGTAGCTGAAATAGCTCTAGTTGCTAAGAATCAGGCATCTTTTGTTGAGGCCAAAAATAGAAACTCTAAATTAAGATAATCAATAGTATCAGTAAGTCAAGTCTTTTGATAATTTTACAAGTGTCTTCCTAGAAAATATGCCCTAAGCTCTATAATTTTAAATTCTCAATTCCCTCATTTTACTTATGAAAATGAAACTGCTATGACAATATCAACCTATTTAATATCAACAGTAAGTGCCCTGCAAGTATGAAAGGGATTCGTTTTTTTTCAGTTTTTCTTTCTCAAAGACTGTCAAGCTTTAATGAGGGGTAAATACTACCTGAGTTTATTTTTTGGTTGGCGTATGCTGATGCTATTTCAAAAAATAACCTCTAAAGTTAGAACAGCCTCGAATACTAACTAGCAAGAGAATGCACAAATATGCTACATACTTTATCTTTGCATTATGAGCAACTATTAATATATAATCTTAGCCTCAATCACTAAAGTTTTTTTTACGTGCTCAACAACTGACACAACCTGTTTCATTAGCATATCTTCAGATTAAGCAGTATATTGTTCTGAGAAAGTTGCCAGGCTTTGCAACTTTTTTTGACATTTTATGACATTCGCATTATCTACCTATTGCAATACAGAATAGCATACTGCAAGTAAGAACTTTTGAAATATTAGTTTGATATGAGTATTTGTCATTCAGGGGAAAAACTTATTCTAATTATGTACAGCAATGTTGATTTGGCCATTCATTTTTCTTAATTACTGATTTTTACTACAATGCTACTTCAATGACTTATACAATGTATAAATCCAATGGATTTTATAATGTTCAGAACCCATAGAGTAGATTATTTCAAACTGATTTAACTTTTGAATTGAAACAAATTGTCAGTTTGTTTTGAAAATGTATTATAAATTAACTATTTCTAAAGAGCTTCACTGCTACATTGAGAAGGTAAAAATTAAAATAACGAGGTTTTTTTCCTTTTGTTGTTGTTGACAAGCTGGGTCTCTCAATTACACAGGGGAATTCTTATTCCAAGGGATAAGGAGCTATAATAAAAAGCACCTAGTAAATGCTTGTTCCTCCACCCAGGGCTTTATAGATAGCATTGTTCATCACAAAATGGCTTTTTGCTTTTTTTTGAAACTATGAGCTATCTAAACAAAGCATATTCTTATGAAGACAGCTTGTTTTTTAAAAGTCAATTTCTAACTCCCTATCATCACCTGAGGTAATATTTAATGAACACTTACTTTGTGCCATCTGGTTGCATTGTCTCGCTGAATCCTTGGAAGACCCCTTGAGGTTGGGTCTATCACATGCTTATTTTGAGGATGAAGAAATGGACTTTCAAAATGAAATAGCTTGCTAGAGAAGTAGGGTTGCCAAAAGCTGGGTGTTCCTGGCCATTTTACAAAGCTGCCTCACTCTGTGAGCAGTGAATTACAGGCAAGCCCCTTTGTGAAAGAAAATGACAAACTTGACAGACTATCTCATTAGCATTCTTGACAGTAGAAATAGATTTGGTGTTTTCATTTGTGGTGCAATGGCTACTTATACCCATTGTAACTCTGCTTCAACAAAATCTAAGAGGGGAAAGGGAAGTGGAAAATAAGATTTATTAGGGAAAATAACGACTAAGATTTTTTTTTCCCCAATGAATAATAAATTCGACTTAATTTTACTAAGCTGATTTGGACATATTAAAGAAACGTTGCAAGTTTAAGACATCATAAAAATGGAAGTGTACTGAGGCTTTGGAATTGGAGTTTGAAGACTGAGAACATGACCAACCTACCCAAGTCTATTCGGGGAATCTACGCTGCTGCCTTCAAGTCCGGTTTTTGAGAGTTCTGAACTCATGACTCTAGCCATACTGATGGGTTTCGACTCCGACTCGGGGTTTGGTGGTGGTGGTTGCCTAGCCTTTCACACGAGTGTTTGAACTTTTCTTTTGGAAAGCAGGAGGGGAGGGACGGAGGGTAGAGAAAAATTAAACGGTCACAGCCAGTCCGTATAATTTGAGGTTTTCTCACTAACCTCCCTTGGGAGACAGCGACGTGACCTTTAATGGGGGGGAGGGAGGGGAGAATAGTAGCTTTCTTACGTTTATATCTGGTTGTTTGTTTCCTTCCCAACATACAAGCCTAGCTAGTCGCTGGGAGCCAGCGTGGGACACCGGCCGAAGTGCCGTGGTCCTGGGGTCCCACCCGGCTGCGGGACTCCGGGCTTGCGGGGCCGCTGGCTGAGCAGGTCCCGGAGATTCCCCGGGCCTCTCGGCTGCCTAGGGAATTCCAACCCCGTAGGGTACAGGGGAAAGGGATCATCCTCACAGATCCGTGGGCCATGCCCAGGACTGAGCCTGGGGATCACAGCCCTCCAGGCCGCGCGCGCCCCCGTTGAGCGCTCGGGGTAGAGGGGGCCCCGGGTGGAGTCCAGGCCTCCACTGTTCCCGTGGAGGCAGAAGCCTCGGTCCTGACTCGCAGCCACTGAGGATCAAGCTCAGGGTCTCCAGCCTGAGCTTGTCTCTCCACTCAGGGTCAAAAAGGACGGTGTGTGTCCCATACCCTCCACCCGTGCCGCCACCTGGGCCACTTGGCCAGGCCTGGCCGCCTCACCTGGCCGTACTTGGCTTCCTGCTCCAAGGCTCCCTTTTCCAGCCCGTTCACTGCGTGCTGGGCGCTGGCGGGGAAGTTGTTGCGGCCCAGGGTGCTCCACTCCTCCACCTTGGGACTGTGGTAGGGGGAGCTGTCGCTCACTCCTGCCAAGGGAGAGAAAACTTCAGGCTGAGGGCCTAACCCGTGAGTCCTTGTCTGGCGACAGGACCCGAACCCATGACAGGAGAGCTCCAAGGCTCCTTGCTCCGGGCCCTGCAGGGGCGCGGGGCCCAGCAAGGCTCCCTTCTCTTTCCAGCTGAGGGCCTAGTGGGGTTTCCCTCGCCTAAGAGTAGGCCTCCGAGAGAGCAGTTTCAGCCAGGCCGGCTGAAAGACAGGATTTTTATGTTTTCTTTTTCAATCAGCCTTTCCCCCACCCCCCAAACTCCCTTTCTGGAACCCCAGGGGAAAGTAAAAGAAACCTGAGAACTTTTCTGAATCTAAGAAGGAACCTGGTGAAGTTGTGTGCCCACCTTCCAATTCTCCAATACTAATCCAGAACCGGCTCAACAGAGTGACAGGGTTCTAGGACTAGGGCAGGAAGAAGCCTTCTGACTCTAGAATGGGTCCCCAGACATCAGACACATCCAGAGAAAACCCTCCCAGCACTGTGGGATCTATACTTATATCAATAGGGCAGAAGAACCTGCCAAGTCCTTTGCAAACAAATAACTAAGGGATGTCTGTGATAAACTTGCAAAATACATGTGCATAGATCTCTGATTTGTTTGCACACAAGACTTCCCCCGCACATTAAATCTAGAAAGTTCTGTGAACATTATTTTTTAATCCTCTGATTGCTATTGTAAATGTCAATGAGTGAATTTGAAGTGGCACCGTTACTGAGACAGTTTTTGGTAAAAAAGAGAAAAATAAAAGGTGAAGGCAATAAACATAGAATTCGGTGTTAAGAAAGGGAGTATAACCATCTGTTACCTTCTCTGTTCTTGGAGAAGCAAAGAAAATTACAGTGTAAGATGATGGCCCACAATACCTATGCTTGTACATTTTGAAATTGGCCTTGTATAATTTTAAAGAGGAGATGCTAGAAAACAAGTTATGTATTTTTGTTTCTGGATTCTAGTGGTGAAAGTTTGACAACACTACTTTATCTTTATTTTAAACACTTTCATCTCATACTGTGCTTCAAGAGGGTGACTGTTTTGCAGAAATTATCTTTTTATATTTACAGATTTTCCAGAAACCAGATTGTTTAGGGTTAACATCCACAATCAACAAATATCTACAATATAGAGTTGATCTTTTCCACAACCCAACACTGCCCCAACTGACATTTGTTCTGACTTCAGGATCCCTGGGGAAGAAAAGTTTTTTCAACTCTGTCAACCTTATTTTCACGATGCCTCCTACTCCAAAGAAATAGATTGTGCTCCTATTTTTTTGCACCAGGAAACCACGTTTGGGTCTGACTCTCTTTGCCTTCCCAGACAAAAGACAGTCGGTGGGCACAAGCCTGAAGTTATCTTAAGAAATTGAGATCCCCCTGTGAGCCCCCATTTCTGCTGATCTCACACTTTCCCATGAACAGGGGCTTCCTTTAAATGTCAACGAGGTCAGTTTATCCTATAAATCAAGGGCAAACTCTCTCCAACTAAAGTCCGACTAGCTCCAAATAAGACAAAACTGGGCTCTTGTAAACTCGGTGAGAAAACCAGAAGATGAGAAATCAAGACCCTGCTCCAATTGCTTAAAAAAAAAAGTCATTGTGCCAATGTTGTGGCAACTGCAAAAGGCAGGAAATAATTAAAGAAACTATTTCTCTCTTTCCTATTTAATTTTTCCTCTGCACTTTTTAAACTTTATACTTGGGATTTAAGGAGGTAGATTCTCTTATTTCTGTATGACTTAAGTTCGGTGTCTATAGCGTTTGGACGTTCTTTTCTCCTTATCGACAAAGAAGCTACCATCTTTTTAGTTTCGTCTTTAACAACGCAGTAAAAAGAAAACCAACGTGTATCTCTTGCGGAAGCGGGAAAGATGCTCAGAACCCCACGGGACCCCCACAAGGTTGGAGAGGGGGTGACACGAAAGCAAGGGAGAGGGTACTCGATCCATGACCCCTCCCTTTCGGAAACAAAACAGCAGAAAAGGATAACAAACATATGTCTTATTCATTGCAGTGGCAATGATGTCCTGGTGTGTGTGTGTGTGTGTGTGTGTGTGTGTGAGAGAGAGAGAGAGAGAGAGAGAGAGAGAGAGAGAGAGAGGAGAGAGAGGGAGGGAGGGAGAGAGGGAGAGAGAGAGAAATGAATAAGTTACACACAAGTTACTAGTAGTAACCGGGACCTCCGTTTCCGAGGAAAATGAAGTGAAGCATAAGAATGAAACCAATTAGGTGACATTTGAACTTCCTGCCTGAGCAAATTTGCCCTGATTGCCAGAATCCGAGTCGAATACTACAATTTCCACAGCGTGCGCGGGGGGCTCTTGGCCGAGGCATCTGATCCCTAAACCAGTTCCCCACCGTGGCTTCTGCAACCCACAGCCAGCCCCAAGCCGGCTCCGGTCTCCGGGGCTGCGCCCCGCGTCTGCGGGGCCGCGCTCCGCCCGGGAGCGAGCCGGGCTGCGGCCGGCGGCGCTGGGCGAGGGGCGGGGGAGGGTGGAAAATGCGAACCATGTGTTGGGGATGGGGGATGTTACGGGTCTGGTAGTCTGAGATGAGGCAGGAGACTGTGGGTGGCGAGGAAACGAGGCGCATGAGTTTCAACTTAATGAGATCAGGACACCCCCCTGGGACGACTCCTCACGTTTCCCAACGTAAAAGCTTCAGGTGGTGGGCTAGACATCAGTTAGGGGCCCAAGATACGGGGGTCTCGGCCAGGGGATGGGGGGTGGGAGCAGGGCGTGGGCAGCCGGCGGGGCGCATCCCGAGTCCTTACCTTGGTCGGTGATGGAGCGGATGCCCAGGATGTCGGTGACCGAGTGCGAGGAGGGCCAGGTGCGAGGCATGGCCACAGAGCCCGGGATGGCGGGCACCCCCGGCGGCGTGGGCACCTTGGCGGCCGCCGCGGTGATGGGACTGGGGTACGAGTAGATGTGGTTGTAGGGCAGCGCGGGCTGCGGCGCCGGCTGGTGCTGCTTGTAGGAGTCGTAATGGCTCTGCTGGGCCAAGTTGCCGATCTTGTTGCGCAGGATGCGGCTAATGGAGCTCACCGAGGGCACGTTGTATTTGTCGCACACGCCGTCGGCCAGCAGGCGGTCCCGGATCTCCCAGGCGAAGATGCCGGGGTCCCTCTGCTTGTAGGTCCGGATGTGTTTGACCACGGTGGGGGTGGTGACCCGGGGCTTACTGCCCCCGATGGCTCCGGGCAAGATCGAACCCGTTTCGTTGTAGCGCGCCAGGATCTTGCTGACGCAGCCGTGCGAGACGCGGAGCTGGCGGCTGATGTCACACGGTCGGATGCCCAGCTGGGCTAGCTCCACGATGCGAAGCCGGATGGCGTTGGGCAGCGGCCTTCCGTTCACGAACACTCCTCCCAGTTGGTTCACCTCCCCGAAGGCTGGCTCTGCAAAAGGGACACACGGCGCGCGGAGACGCGCACCCGCTGCTAGGGACAGCCGCCGGCCCCCGGGCACGACGCTGCGGGGGCGCCCGGCGTGCCCGCCCCGCACGCACCACCCGGGCTGTCTGCAGCACGAAGCGGCTCCGAACATCGCCGAGCGACCCCCGGACCAGCTGCGGCCCGACCTCCTCCCTCAGTTCTGCTTGGCACCTCCGAAGGTTCGAGAGTCTCCGAAGCAGACGGGGGAGTCGGTCTGGACGCCAGAACGCGCCGCCCCTCGCCGGCTTGGCTCTAAGGTCCTGGGGCCGCCGCTCCCCGGCACCGACCTCATCCCCAGCGCCGCTCCTGGAGACAGACCGGCGCCGTTAGACGGAGTCTAGGGGAGGCTCAGGGGGGGTGTTGGGGAGTTGGTGCCCCAGGTTTTGTGGGCCTGAAGGAGCGCGTGGGAAACGAGACGGGGGGACTGCCACCGGGACTGCGGGAATCCCCGGTGCCACGGCTCCCTACCCTTAAAACCCAGGAAAATGGCACCGAGCAGCAGCCACGGTGCACCGCTGCGCGCCGCTGACCCTCGGCGTGTTCGAACAACTTGTAGAACACCAGCAAAGTCAATAGCGCGGTGTGTGCGCCCGCGCGCGCGCGCCCTCCCTCCCGCCCTCCCTCCCGCCCTCGCCGCCCGCCCGCTCCCTCCCGCCCCGCTCGGTCTGACAGCGTCCCCCGCCGCCACTCACCCATTGCTCCGAGCCGGTCACCCACCGGGCCCCAGTGCCGCACCCCCTGGAAGAAAGTTTTCTCACGATCTCCCTGGCCCGGCCTGTCGCGGCTCTGGGCGGCGGGTGCCTCAGCTTCTCCCCAGGAGGAGGCGGCAAGAGCGTAAAAGGAAGGAGTAAAAGGAAGTCTGTGCCCCGATGAAAGAGGTTTGAGTTCTGCATTTCAATCTAAGCAGCAACGTGGGCTGGGCTGAGCTGGGCCGGGCGGCTCCGTCTATCACTCACTAGGGACACGCCCCTAAAGAGGCGGGCCCGAGAGCAAGCTGCGTGCTGATTGCTTCGGATGGGTGAGTGACAGCGCAGTCCGGGAAACTCCTTCCGCTGTCTTCTGCGGGCTTGGCTGCTCACCTGGGTGACTAAATGCAAGGAACAGAGGTGTTTGACATCTTCTCAGGGGCGGCACAGACAGACAGCAAAACCCAGGCTTGGTAAAAAATGCTGAATAAGCGAAAGAAAGTGCTCGATCTGAATGAGTGACTCGAAGGGGGGTAGGGACACCACCCAGGAGATGCGACGAACTCAGAATTGAAGTTGAGACTCGGGGCGGGAGGTGGGTGCCACCATTTTACGGGGCTGGAAAGAGATGAATGAAGGAGTCGTCGAAATTGTACTACCTGTCTGGTCGGCCTTGGGTGGGGGGGGTTGGTAGGAAGTGGGCTCTCTTACCCATTGAGTCTGTCTGGTTCCAGTCTGTCTGGTTCCAGTCTGTCTGGGTGGCGGGAAGGCAGGTGTAACGAGGTAAGACCTGGAGATAGCGAGAGGTCCAGCTGGAGATATTAAGGCCCAGGAGGATATTAGGACCTTCGCACATCGAAATCTCAATGGCTAGTAGGGGAGCCCCGGGCCGACACCCCCAGCCACACAGGCTCCAAGCAGCACCGCACTGTGTGCGGGAGAATTCAACCACGCGCCGCCGCGACCAAAGTGTGCGTGCGCAACCCCGGGACCACTTATGGCTGGTATTGGGTGAGGGATCTAAGAGAGATCAGTCCCCGCGCCCGTCGGATTCAGCCAAGCTCTGGGCCCTGGGTCCTCAATGACAAACTTGTCCAGGCTTCTTGCCATCCCTAAGCTAGTGCAAGAGGAGTCTGTTGCTTAGGAGACTGTCCTAAGAAAGTGGTCGCGAATATCATTCCTGCGAGTTCAGAGGCTCCGCGGGTTCTGACATCGCACTTCCAGTCACCCCAAGTCTAAGTTAAACTTGGGACAGTAAGCTTTTTAAGCGGCGGGATGTATTTGTATTTGAGGAAAGGGTTGTAAAGAATGTGAGCGAAATAATAAACGAGATGAGGAATATGTTTAATGAGTTGGGAGAAGTTGTACTAGTTGGGGAATACGGTAATGATCATACGACAGGCGCTGTTTGGGGACTGACGGTTCTATCCTGTGGTCCATGCACAAGGACCCCGATCGATGGCCAGAAAGTGCCACGGACCCAGGGGAAACTGGTGGTCAGCCATGCTCCTTTGAAATGAATATTGATCATTGATCTCCAGACACAGGTCTACCGGGGACAAGCTCTCTGAATTCTGATGTACTTCTCACATGAAGGATTTGAAAGATAAAGACGAATTTAAGCACCTGTGGTTCGTTATCATCGGTGACAAGTTTCACCAACTAGAACTACTTGAACTTAGCCCTTTTTAAAATTTGGAGGTGTTCTTTTGTTTCAAATGTTTAGAATCTTCTCAGTGTTTTACTTGAGGACAGTTTTGCCCTGCTCTGATCTTCTGCTTCTGTCCTGTGGAACCGCCCGAGCTTTACAACAAAGAGGTTACAACCAAAGCAGCACGCCCTTCTACGGGCTACAGGTAGCTGACACTGCCGCATCTGAGCCGAGCTTAGGACTCGCACTAGAGAATGAACAGCGCCATAAATTCATTAGGATCCCCTCCCCAACCCACCCTTATTCTCAGAGTGTGGCAACTTGACCTGGCTTCCGGACCCCGGGTGAGCTTTTAGATTCCTGTGAGCTGCTCTGCAGGCCTGGGGTCCCTCAGCCCAAGGCCAGACCTAGTGTCCTGCTGAGAGTCTAATAGCGCGGACCCGAAGTGATCCTGAGATGCTATAGTCCTGGGCTCAAGCCGCCAGGACTTGGCACCTTACATTCTCTCTCTGGTCCCTGCTACATTTCTACTGAGCTTTGGCTCAGGGCCGCTGCATCTCTCAGTTTCCACCTGCTGGATTTGGCTGTTGGTCTCGATGGGCCCTAGCGGCAGCGGACCCTGGGCGCGCTCAGACTGCGTTTCATTGGGCATAGGTCCCAGCTTTGCGACATCCTTCAGACCCGCTCGCCTCTGCCACGGCCAGGACTGAGAGCTTTTGGAGAAGTGCATTCTTAAGAGCTCTGGAAGAATCGGTCTTAAGCCCCCGTGCATCTGCAACCAGCCCTTACTCAGGAAAGAGAGGAGCCAAAGACTGCAGGAGCAGAAGAGCTTCCGCCTCGGGATTTCGTGGAAAGGAGGGACGCTGAACCCTCCCCTGGTCTCGGTCTGCGGTAGCCTAGAGTTAACCAGAGCCCCGCTGCATCGGAGGAGACCCTCATGGGGAGTACAAAAAGAAGAGGTAGGAGAAGGTGGTGGAGGAAAAGGAGGAAAGGGAGGGAGAAGGCAGGAGGAGGAAGAGGAGGGGGGAAAGGGGAGGGGGAGGGAAGAGAAAGGGGAGTGGGCAAGGGAATGATGGGCTTCCAGAAAGAGCAAGGGTCACTTGGGGTCACTCCCCCCTGGTTACTAGCCGCTCTGGACCCAGAGATCACACGGAGATCGGAGAAGAATTTCCACTAAAAGAAATTTAAGACCCAAACCAAAACATTACCAGTAAGGCCTGCAACGGGCCGGGGCCAGGACAAGCCTAAAAGCCATTCCCTGGGCTCTGCGGAAGTCCTCCTCTGAAGGGCGACCCCTTCTCTGGGTAAATATTTACTCGGTGGGAGACTGGAAGCTGACAAGCCCGAGGGTGTGAAGGGGGAGGTTTCCCCGAGTGGAGGGGGCGTGGGTCCGCGCTTTGGCGCTGCTCGGCTCCGGGTGCGCGCTCGCCCACCGAGAGCCAGAGCCGGACTCCCGGGGCCGCTGGGCAGTGGCGTGTGGCTGGAGGGAGCTTCAGCCTGCTGTAGTCCCCGGCGGGACTCCACCCTTCCCGGCAGGCCCAGGCCAGAAGCTGGGAAGTCTCCAGGAACCTGCCATTGGTCTGGGTGTCAAAGGCCATCAGCGGCTCCCTCCACTAGCGAGGGCTCAGACTTTCGGGGGAGGGGTCGGCGCTTTCCGAGGTCCCTCTTAGAGGAGGGCCTGCAAATGGCAACTGAGGACTGCCCAGGCTGGGGCGCAGGACTTCTGGCTGTGCGGGCCTCGGAGGGAACTCCCATGATCTCCAACCCTGTCCTGGGGCCAGGTTCTGGGATGGATGAGGATGAGGTCGCTCGCGTTTGTGTGGAGAGAGGAGGCCGGACAGGACCCCCCGGGTAGTGGACAGCGGGAGCTGAGTTGTCCATGTGGTTCCCCGTTGCCGGGAACACATAGGAACACAGATCTCCAGAAAGGCCTGGGAGACCGTGCCGGCCTCTAGACTACTGGGGGAGTTTGCAACTGCGGTGGGCAACCAGAATCCAAGCTCCAGGGACAAAATACAGCGAGCTGCCCGCTCTGTCCAAGCAGCTGCCCCTTTCGAGTGGCTGATTGCACGCAGCAGAAAGAAGAGAACCAGAGATCCTCAGACCAGGGCTCACGGCCGAGGCCAAGCCTCCCCAGATCAGTCCTGGCCCTCTGCGCCTCCCAGCGAGTGCCGGGTCAAGTGGCAGCTAGAAGCACCCCTCCCCCGCCCTGCACGAGTTCAAGGCCAGGGAGGGTCCACTCTGGACGGCTGCCCTCCCTCCCCCGCCCCATCGACGCGGGGAGCCGCCGCTATAGGCTTCAGCTAAAGAAAATTGGGGGAGGGGGGCTGGAGTGGAAGACCTAGGCAGGGGATCCCTAGCCTGGCTTAGGGAGGGGGGAGCGCGGGAGGCGCCCACATACTGACCTGCTGACCTGGACTTGGCCAGGCTGCAAGAGGCCGCTGTAGCACCCCAGACCAGCTGAGCCAGGCCGGACGCTGCGCCTTTCCACCGCACCGCGACGTTGCTCAGGCCACAGCTGGCGGGGTGCAGAGAATTCCGAAATTCCTCCGACACTGCGGGTCAGACGGCGGGCAGACCCGAGGGCTGCGGGCTGTGGGATCGGGGGCCCCCGCCGTCCGCTAGCGCGCAACGCCCGCGTTCTCCTTCCGAGGGCAGGGGAGGGGCCTGTGGCGGCCTGAAACCCGCTTTAAATTCTCCGCCTGCCTGTTTCCGATCAGCCGGGGTTGGTTTTTCTGTTTGCTCACTCCTTCTATTACAATAAAAACAATCGACTTTTCTTTTCAGTTTCCCCATATTAGCGTCACTCGGTAATTGTTCTCCACCTCCTCCCCCTCCCGCGTGGAAGGCGAGCGCAGCGCGGATCTTCTCGCATTGGAAGCTTTCCGAGTATATAAGCAAAGCTTCCCTAAAGACTTTAAAGTAAAAATAAATAGCAGCCCGGAAAATTGCCGTGACCCTAAGATCACTTTCTGAAAGCAAATTACACCCATTTTTCAGTTTTCAACGGCGGGCTTGCTTTCGGAAGGACGCGTTGAGTCTCCGCATGGTATGGTTACGTGTGTTTATTAAATCCTCAAATGAAAGAGAGCCTATTTTTGTGCAAAGGGCAACGCTCTTGGCTGGGCGCAAGTGTGAGGAAGCATCAGGAGGGGCGGAGGGTGGCTGAGGCCCAGATGGGGTCAGAAGGGAAGGTCAGGCTGAGGGTCAGCCGGCACCCGGGGACTCCCTTCGCCTGACGGGTACGTAGCACACCCCACTGTAATGCTATAACGGCTTGAGCTACAGCAATCAGGAAACCGCTGCTGCTGCGACTGGGCAGATCAGCACAGCTGTCTGAGGCCCTCCCCCAGACCTAAGATCAGGCCATGGTATGAGGAGAGAAACCTCAGTCCAGGTTGTGTTCAATGCAGGTTTATGGAGAGGTTAGGATTTTCTACAGCTTTCGAGGCCCTGCTTGGCCATGTGCTCTGGGCAGGACCTGTCTGCAGCCCCTAAGATCCAAGCTTTGGCAG